GAAGCTCCATTTAAGTTTGGCAATTTTTGTTGTAATGTCCTCGACTTTTGTTTTTGATTTCATCCAGTCGTTCCTTTTTTTATCTGACAGTCGTATACCTAACATTGCACTTTCCGTTGTTCTTTCTATTGTGGCTAGTTTATTCATGTTTGCCTTGGTTAGGGTCCAGGTTTGACATCCATATGTCATCATAGGAAGGATGCATTGGTTGAACACTTTGCTCCTCAAGTATTGGGGTATTTTGCGGTTCTTAAGTATTCAACTAAGTTTTCCAAATCCTGCCCATGCTAGTCTTGCTCTTCTAGTAAGTTCCGCACTTTGGTTCTCTTTATCAAGTTTCAGGATTTGCCCTAGGTAGATATATTGCTGGACTTGTTCTATCTCACTGCCACTTATAGTTATACGTCTGGGGTCATCTGTGTTTGTCGTTATTTTTGTTTGTTTTTAATTTGTCTGTTTTTGTATCTATTGCTAATCGCAATGATATGTAAATTTTGTAATCCAAATTAACTATTTCTAAAAACTAAAAACCATCTTAAGATACGTTTGTATTTCCCACCGTATAGTATCTCGTTCAAGTTTTGTATTACAAGTTTGAACTGTACAATACATAAAAAAATAGTAGTGCAAGAGAGATAGGATAACTGGGAAGCATAGTACATAAAAAAATGGAGGCTATGTACTGTGTCGTCAGTTGCCATTAAGACGTAAGATGAACACTACATACGTGTGAATAAGGAAAAGTTACATTTTATGTTGTGTAATTACAATTCCGAAGACGCTACTTAATCTGAGTAAAGATTGTGATAAACAAATAGCCCTAAAATGGCCGAAAGAATCGAATGCCGACCCCATTGACGATACTGATTCGGAAACATCCGAAATCGATGATTATGATGATACCACCGGAAATAACAAGAGGCATATGTAATAATATAGTAACTCTCAGACCAGGTCAGAATGAAAAATCATGAAGTGTTCACAGTTTGCTCGAGTATTTCAAGCTATTTATGGGTAACGAAATAATAGATATTGTAGTTCGTTATACGAATCAAAAAGTTGCTTTGTAATATGAAAATTATAATTAAAAAAATATCTCCCAGACAAATATTTGGACTTCAACAAATCTCATTAAATGGTATGACTTGTTGGGAGTTCTAATTACAATGGGAGTACTAAAAGAAAAAAGAGAACCGCTATCATTGCTTTGGAATAAAGATTCATTGTATTCTCAGCCAGTGTTTCCTGCTGCAATGTAGCATGACAGATTGAAAGAATTGAAAGAGAGTTACGATGAGCTACAGACAAACTTGCTGCAATTCGGGAAGTCTGATATTCTCGTGAAAAACTGTACCTACTGAAAAATTCAAAAGCAGCTTGTGGAATTTAGAGGAAAATGACCATTTCGTGTTTACATGAAATCAAAACCGACAAAATATATGGTATCACGATATGAGCTTTGGTTGATGCAGATAATACGTATGTAAAAAAATTACAGGTCTGTTTGGGAAAGATTAATGACAAATTTGAAAAGGAACAGGGAAACGTCTAGTACTAGATTTAGTATCTTGCCTTGGTCAGGGATATGGCATTATTACCGGTAATTTATTTTACAAGGAAATCTAGCTGATGAATTGGTCAAACGCAGTCAGAATTAGTGTGGCACACTCAGAAATCCCAAATCACAAAGAAATCCCGCCAATATTAAACAATAAAGACAGGCCAGAATGGTCTTCAAATTTTGGTCTTACCAAAAATATCACTCTGTTTTTTTTAATTCTTTTTCCAAAAATATTAGAAACAAAAAACATAGGTTCAAAATCTTGCAACAATATAATTTAAGCTGAATAATGTTTTATTATTTAAATAATTTTACTATTATCTATAACATCAACACACTGTAAATATTATTGTAGGTATATTTAATTATCTTTTATAATAAAGTTTTTATTTGTTTATTAATCACTAATGATAATAAAAGAGTTTATTAAGCTAATTCAAATGTAGCTGTAATATTAAGTTACTTCAAATGTAGATGTTAATAGAGACATGGGGAATCTAAAATTTGCATTCCACGACATGTCTCCTCAACTAAGCAGAAATCCTTAGCGAATTGATTTCTTGTACTCATACAGAGTAGTTCCGAATAAAATGAAAAACACGGCCAAGATTTGTTTTGACGTACAAAGCGTCTATGTATCTGCTTATACGTATTTCGCCCTAATAGGGTTCATCAGAACAGCTATTCATAGGCGTTCTGAACGTGAAAATAAATATTTTCTGTCTTAAGAAGCAACTCTAACATGGCTTCGTATGAACGCAAATAGCGACATCTGATAATAAATCCGTAAAATATTTTCGAAACCAATTCAGATTTTTGCTTTAATCTGAGGCTTCTAAAAATTGCAAGGCAAAACAGACGTTTTGAACGAAATCCTTAGCGAATTGGTTTTTTGTACTCATACAGAGTAGCCCTATTAGGGCGAAATACGTATAAGCAGATACATAGACGCTTTGTACGTGAAATCAAATCTTGACTGTCTTTTTCATTTTATTCAGATCTACTCTGTATGAGTATAAGAAACCAATTCGCTAAGGATTTCTACTTAGTTGAGGAGACATGTCGTGAAATGCAAATTTTAGATTCCCCACGTCTCTATTAACATCTTTATCAACGTCTGCTTTGCCTTGCAATTTTTAGAAGGTTCAGATTAATGCAGAAATCTGAATTGGTTTCGAAAATATTTTACGGATTTATTATTATTATTATTATTAAACAACACCAAGATAATTTTATGAGTGAAAATTATAAAAGACGGCATTTAGAACATTGTGTGACCTCGCTGCGCTTATATTCGATGACCAACTAGCTCATCCAATATAAATAAAGTTGACTTTATTATTATTTATTTCGATTTTGTGTTTAATTTATTACATACGTACAGATTTTGTGTACCAAAATTATAAAGTGATCATTAACAAATTAAGAAGTGGGAATTTGTAGCTGTACTCGACCCATTTTAATGTATATACCCCTTTTTTGTATCTTTCTAAACAACTAAAATATCAAACTCTGCAGTACAAATTAATTAACCTGTATGTTTAATAAAAAAATTAAAACATGTTTTATAAAAAATATCCATGCTAATAAAAGAACTTTAGCCAAAAATCAATAAAATTAAATCAACTACAAAATATTTTTTATGACTAAATATTATAAAGACACAACTTTATCACCTCTTTATAATTACTCTAATTAAATTAGACAAACTATATTAAAAACTTAAAATTAAAAGTATTTCCTATACAATTACATTCAAATATTTTGTGAAGAAGGGATCTTTACTACGTCATGCGCGAAGCGAACCGATTTTGGAACAGTATGTATCTTGATTTAACACATCGAGCAAAAAGACAAATTTAACATGTATCATGGAATGTATCATATATGGAATAGTATCATCAAAGAATATGTCTATATTCTTTGGTATCATGATTTAACACTATGTACTAACCAATATGGCGACGGCCAGGTCCGGATTTAAATTATTCAAGCTATATTTACTATACCTTTATGTAAATTTCTTTCATCAAAACTTACAAAATTCCGATTCTTCAACTTAGTTTTGTTTAATATATTAATACTGTGGAGTAGTGTGATAACCTATGGAATTAGTAATTGACATTTTAAAAGTACATGTCGAATAAATTATTAAGAACTAAGACAAACATGAAATATCATATGATCATATGATCTATGGAAAATAGGACTTACATTATCTTTTAGCTTAAATTCAAATATTTCTTATACATGAGTTGAGGTCATCTTTAAATACATTGGAATACTGTCACTTCAACTCTGATTATAAGGTGATGTTTAGGCTGATTATAACTACATTCATCTACAACATAATTTAGTTTTGATTGCATGTCTGACTTTTAACAAATTCTTATCTATACCCATTAAACTTAAATTATTCTTACTTACATGATTTTCACTACTTAATACACTATAATCAAGTGTTACTTGATTAAACAAGACTGTCTTCCAAGAAGGATTGAAAACACTTAGCCAATTCATTCCTATCAAAGGCAAAAACTTATTTGAGCTTTCAATAACTAATATGGTGACAAGGTTAACTGTCTTTTATACAAGACAGTCACATAAATTTGACCTATAACTGAAATTTTATTGCCAATAACTGCTCTTAACTTAACATTAGTAATGTTTATCTTGCACTTGCTAAAATATTTCGAAAAATCCGTCATATGTATGGCTGACTTATATGCACCACATATTTAGGTCCTTTGCTTGGATCTTAATAGCTTCCGTTGTCTTAGATCTGTCTTCTGCAGTTTTCAGATTTAAATTACCGACTCCTAATAGTTTTTCTTGTAAATTATGATCTTTTTATTCTTTTTATAATAATTATCAAAAGCGGTTATTACTTCTTTCTATTTTCTTGTTCTTCTGTGAGACTCAATGTATTAAATACTTCTAAGGTCTGATTTACCACTTAAATGGGCTACTTTTAGGTAAATATCATAATGCTGTTTAAACTTTACCTAGTTTTTATGTAGGTTAGGTTAGGTGGCGGTTTAGATCCACTTGAATCCATTTTGAGACTGTACTAGTAAACTATTAACGCATCAGTACTATACGATGCTTTTTCCAATGTCTATTCTTATGAATTTACCCCTAACACCATGTTTCAGGTTGACTTTATATTAACTTAAAGTAATACAAGATTAACGTGTGAACATGTTTATAAAAGTGTAACATCTTTTGCCCGCTCAGCTGTCACCTGTCTCCATGATCATATAAAATGAGACATGACACTGTGAAGCATCATATATGTAACATTTATTCAATTCAACGGTGAAGTGAATAAAGTGGAGGGAAAAAAATAAATGGCAACTAAAATCACTCTTACAAGAGTAAACAAAGAAATATACACAAAACCAAAATAAATAAAGAGGAAATAAGTGACGGACAGGAACAAAATAGACACGAATATATTCCAAGATAAAAAACACTACAATCTTTCAATGACAAGTGAATTCAAGAAATTTGAATCAGATATCATATTATCCTAGATAGATTATAGTAAATAAATGTTACACAGATGTTACTTCAAAACTAAGAATGGCTTTTCATATGATAGTTTAAACTAGACTTCTGAGAGTATTTTTTAAAGCAAACGGTGCAAGTAAATGGTTTTTCTCCAGTATGAGTCCGGACATGATCTCGTAGATGAGCCTTTTTTGAGAATTGTCTATAGCAATCATGACACTTAAATGCTTTCTCTCCAGTATGTGTAACCATGTGAATATTTAAATCTTTTTCTTCACCAAATCTCTCTGTGCACATCTTACACTTTAGACGATCTTCCTTGCCATGGTAGTTTAGGTGTACTGTTAAATTCGACTTTTGGGAAAATCTTCGTGGACAAAGTGGGCACTGATACGGTTTTTCTCCAGAATGACTTCTCATATGTATTATGAGACCAGGTTTTAGGGCAAATCTTTTTGGACAGTATTCGCAGTTAAAAGGTTTTTCGCCAGTATGACTTACCAAGTGTTGTTTCAAGTGAGAAGGTAGGATAAAACACTTAGAGCAAATTTCACACTTGTAAGGTTTTTCTCCAGAGTGAAACAGCATATGACGATTGACAACAGATTTTCGAGCAAATCGTTTTGGACACAACTCGCATTTGAATGGTTTTTCCTGTGTATGGTTGCTCATATGTAGACTCAAGCTTGATCTCTGAGTAAATCCTTTCAGACAGATATCACACTTAAATGGTCTCTCAGTCTTATGAATATACATATGATTTCCTAGACTAGACTTGTGAGTAAAAGATTTTGAACATATTGGACAGGCAAAAGGTTTTTCACCAGAATGAATTCTGGAATGTTCCTTTAAATGGGATTTAGTAGTGAATTGTCTTGGACAATCAGCACACTTAAAAGGTTTGTTTGCTAAATGTGATTTCATGTGTCGATCTAAAAGGATATCTTGACTAAAAGCTTTAGAACAAATAGGGCATATAAATGGTCGTTCGTCTGAATGTGTTCCCATGTGAACAATCATACTTTTCTTTTGAGAAAATCGTCGTGAACAAACTTCACAACTAAATGGTTTTTCGCCAGAATGACTTCTTTGGTGTGTTGCTAAAGCATATTTTTGAATAAACCTCTTTGGACAAAGCTCACATTTAAAGGGTTTTATGCCTGTATGTATCTTCATATGCTGCCCGAGGTAAGATGTGGTCATAAACTTCTTTGAACAAATTGAACAATTATATGGCTTCTCTCCAGTATGAATTCTCATGTGAATTATTAATTGAGATTTATTTAAGCATTCTTTTGAACAAACATCACATTTAAAAGGTTTTTGCTGTGTATGACACTGTATGTGATATCTTAAATGAGATGAAGTCACAAAATTTCTAGCACACACAGTACAAGAATATGGCTTTTCTCCAGTGTGAATTCTCATATGCTGTTTTAGATAAGATCTTGTAATATACTGTTTACAACAAATACTACATTGCCATTTTCCATTAACTTTCTTTAAATCATTTATTTCAATTGCATTAAAAGATTCTTTGCCTGTCTTAGGTTCATTGTAATCCATAAAATGTTTGTATTCAAGACCATCCCAAATATCAAGTTGTTCTGTGGAGGTCTTTATTTTTTTTAGGTATTTTACTTGATCTTTTGTATAACGCCGTTTAATGAAGTAAATTTTTATGTGGTTCAAATATTCATTATGTTTTATGTAACATTTGCCACACATGTGACAGGCAATACAAGAAGATCCAAAGTGAGATTTGATATGCTTATTTCTTAACAATATTGACGTGAATCCTAAAACAGAAAAATTTATTTTAAATAAACTTGTATTTAAGATCTAAGTCATAAATAAGTTGAGATTTAACAAGAAGAAAAATATTCAGACTTGACAGAAATTAAACAAGTTTGTTATTGAGCTTTCTTCTGAGACACTGTCGGTATCTCCTGTTCAAAAATAACATACCTTAAATGAATTATAAAGTATATTTTACGAATCTGTGGCTATTTTGGATTAGGGATGAAACCTTCGAGTTAAACGGTCCGCTGTGCTGAATAAGCTAATAGCAAATTCTCTCAATTATTGAAGCACTGTCAAAGACAAGCTAAAATATGATGTTAACTGATAATGTATTTTATATTCATTTAGCGAAATATACAATTATTAGTCCAAAAATACAAAAAAATTACAAATTCTATTGTTTCTAAACTGTAGTGAAGTATTTACTAATAAAATAATAACATTAACACTCAAAATTTTCTTAATGAGAAAATGAAAACATATTAGCTTACAATGTAATCAAGAATTAGATACGCATATTCACTGTCGACGGTATCTTCATTTGAATTGTTAATGATGACTGGGTTAACTGCTTCCATGCGATTTTCACGCATCCAACATTCTCCAATTAACTTTTTACATTTCCGTTTTTTTTTTTCACATTTTTTCCCAAACCGCAGCAGCAGGAATATTTAATGTTTCTTACCATGTTTCCAAAGCTGCTGCGTCACTGCAGACGCTACGTACCGATAACAATAGTTATCCTAGTAAGTTTTGTAGATTCCCAAAATATATTAAATGGGATTGAATTCACGAGGGCAGTCTTAGCGCATTATGTCCAAAACTGTGTATAATCTTGTCTACTATACATAATTTTGTGTTTTTATCCCTTTTGGCTAACTGTAGTAATTCCGGCTTAAAAGAATTCTGAAGAAATGAAATATTTTCATTCTTTAACCCTTTTTTTTATTTTATGTACTGTCCAGGTATTTGGTTATTTAAAATTTCTGAATAGTATGGGGCATTACCCAAAACTATAACAGCTGGTTCATGTAAACTTGGAAGCAGTTTTTCTTTCAACCAGTTCATAAACATCTCCAACCATTTCATAAACATCTCTGTATTCATGTTATCGTGATAATCAGTCGATTTTGTCCATGTTTTGCACCCGCATGCAATATAATAGGTTTCTTTCTCTATCAGTGTCTTTTTTATGGATTTTATCCTCTCGTCTTAAAAAATTCATTTTATTCCACCTTTAGCAAAAATCCACGTTTCGTTCATATAAACAAATTAAGCGTGTTCTTTTTTAAAATAATTATAGTTTCTTAAGAACTCGATTCGTTTATAAACGACACTAGCTCTGTCACACAAACACTTAAACCTAAACTCTACAGAGACTTATACTGGAAATGAAAATGTATTTGTCTTTTAATTTTTTTAAAACTGTCTCTAGGGTAATTCCAGCAATAATCGACACAAGTCGGTGGGGTCACCCTCTCCGATTTGGCTGAAATTTTACACACATGTTGTACTAGACAAAAAAAAACATGATTTTCAGACCTTAATATTCAAAATGGCGGCCGTGGTGCGCTATTGAAGTTTCACGATATTATCAAATTTTTTTCGTGTTTCGCCGATTTTTTTAGTACAGCGAGCTAAATATGCGTAAACAAATATCCACTATGTGTTTTCCAATGTAGAATTTCCCGCTGAACACGATCCCGGGGTCAGAATTGCCATACGACGTCATGTAAAGCCACAAAATGCGAAACAAAGCGCTTTTTTTGAAAAATTCATATCTCAAAAACACCCTCTTTAATTTTTTTCAAATTTTCACAAAAGACGCCTTAATACAAGTAATTTCGAATAAAAGTTGTCTAAGAAATCCTTTTTATATGTTCGAAGCTGCTGCGCCCTATAAAAGTCCAAAAAAAAAACGCGCTTTGCCTTCGTTTTTCAACTTCCAAATAACTTTTAGAGGTTTTCTGACAACGAATTCGAATTCTACGGAAAATTTTACACAAAAAATGACCATTTTGAATTTCCTTACCACCGATTTTAACGTTACTTAACAGGCTGTCGTTACTCGGTCCATTCAGCATTATCTGTCAGTATGACAGTGTCATCAGCATATCGCAGGTTATTTAATCATTGCCCGTTTATAATTATACCATCCGAGGTGCCTTCCAAAGCTTTCTGAAATATCTTCTCAGAGTAAACATTAAACAGCAAAGGTGATAGGACACATCCCTGTCTTACTCCCTTCTCGATATTGATTTTTCCAGATGTTTCGCTTTTTATTCTGATTTTAGCCTTTTGTTCTTGGTAGAGGTTTGAAATGATCCTTAAGTCTTTATCGTCGATATTAGATGACCTTAAAATATCTATTAGTTTATCATGTTTCACCAGGTCAAACGCCTTCTGAAAGTCTATAAAACACAAGTATACATCAGAATCGATATCTCTACATCTTTCAACTAGCACACGTATTGAAACAAGTGCTTCTCTTGTTCCGAACCCATTCTTAAAACCAAATTGAGTTTGACCACTGTGTTCGTCTAGGTTATTGTATACTCTACTGTGTATTACTCATAGGAAAAGCTTCAATATATGATTCATCAGGCTAATAATCCTATGGTCTTCAAATTTCTTGAAGTTTCTCTTCTTTGGTAGTGGTATAAACACCGATGTCAGCCAATCATTTGGTATTATGCCTGTTTCATATATTTTGTTAAATATATCTTCCATTACTTCGATGTGTTCGTCTAGTAATATCTTTTTTATTTTAATTGGGATATTATCTTCCCCAACAGCTTTTCCGTTCTTTATCTGATTTGCCGCTTTGATAATTTCTTGTAAATGTTCGTCCTCTCTCGGTCTTGAAACATCTCTTCCACGTATTCTCTCCATCTACCTATTTGATATTCTATGTTCAGTAGCGGGTTCCCATGTTTATCTTCGATGAAAGACGTAGGAGTTTGTTTAAATATTCCAGCGGATTCTTTTACTTTTTTATGTAGATTGAAAGTATCATGTCTTTGTTCCAACTCTTCAATTTCCTGGCATCTTTCACTTAGCCAGGTTTCTTTGGCTTGTTGGATCTTTATTCTGATATTCTTGTGTATTTGCTTGTATGTTGTTTCATTTTTACCTCTGTATTTTCTTCTTTCGTCCATCATGTTTAGAATTTCTTCTGTCATCCATGGTTTGTTCTTTTTTCGTGTATCTTGTTTGAGGTAGTCTTCTGTTACTCTTGTAAGTGTTTTCTCAATATAGTTCCAGTCTTCCTGGGAAGTTTTTGTCAATTGTACTGTTCTGTTACTCAAGTGTCTATGTATTTCTTCCCGTATTTTATTACAAGTGGATTCTTCTTTCAGCTTATCTGGGTTAATAGCTATTATTTGCTTATTTCTTTTTGTTCTTTTAAATTCTATCCTAATTGTTGTAAGAAGAAGATTGTGGTCGGTGGGGATGTCAGCTCCGGGGTATGTCTTGCATGCTTTTACTGCGTTTTTGTATCTTTTGTTGACCATTATGTAATCGATTTGATTTCTTGTTATGCATCCTTTTATTCCATCTGCTGGAGATTTCTACGTGTAGAGACGTCTGGGTGGTAACTTGAAAAAGCTGTTCATTATACTGTACTGATTTTCTTTACAGAACTGAAGCTGTCTTCGGAGGCGTGTCAGTCGGGAGCCGACAGCCGTGCCGAACGCATCAGGAAATTCGGAGATTGGTCCAAATATTTGGAAATTCCAAGTTTGGCCAAATCCGAATTTCTGATTGGCTCGATGCGGAGGAAATTCCACTTTTGCTTTGTGAAACAAAGGATTTGTTTCATATAAAAGCAGGTGAATTTTCTCTCATCAGTCAGTCGAGCTTGCCTCTTCTACTCTAGACCTAGTCGGTGCTTTATTGTATCAACTTGAGCTATTGTTTTATTTCTGATTTCCTGTGCACCTTTTTATTTTAGCATTTGTCGTATATTCAGACCTTTTCAGGTTAGAATATTACTATTGTTCATGTATTGATTTATTTACTATTTTATTTGATTTTTTTTTTATTGTTTATAATTCTTGTTTTTGTGTCTAAGTAGTTCTTTCCGGTAAGTTAAAGAACTCTTAGAAATATTTTCTGATATTTCATTTGTGTTTCATTGTGTGTCTAAGTTGTTCTTTTTCGGTAAGTCAAAAGAACACTTAGAAGTATTTCCATATTTGCATTCTTATTTCTGATATTTCGTATACTTGTCTCTGTTATTTTTATTTCCATGCTAAGTCGTTTCTTCCGTAAGTCAAGAAACACTTAGCTATATCTTTTCCACACTTTATTTTCTTATTTTCTATTACAAGTTGCTTCTTCCGTAAGTCAAGAAACACTTGTAAATATTTATATTCTTCTATTTGCATATTTGATTCTCTTGTTGTTTTTCTGTTCTAAGTTGTTTCTTCCGTAAGTCAAGAAACACTTAAGAACATTTCTGCATTCTTTTATCTTGTGTATTTTACTCATACTTCTGCATTTTCTATTCTTTGATCTTGTACATTTTACTTTTCATTCTAAGCTGTTTCTTCCGTAAGTCAAGAAACACTTAGAAACATATTCTTTACATTACATTTATCATACCATTGTATTTTATTGTTTGCTAAGTTATTCCTTTCGTAAGTCAAGGAATACTTAGATTATTTTACCTGTTCTGTTTTCCATTTTTGATCTGTTATTTTGTAACTGTTCCTTGGAACCGTTACTTGTAACAGGTACTGTCGCTGTAACGGTTATTCTGTAGCGGTAACAGTATTGACCCATTTCACTAGCGACAAACGAAGATGGTAAACACCCGTTCCAATTCCGGAGACAGGAAAAAGTCCGAAGAGCCGGCGATGGGTCCTACAGGCCCAAATGCCCCCTCTCGGCAACATGGCGCCCAACAACAAAAAACCGAACCTACGACCCCAGGACCGTCTTCAAGCCAGCCTTCAACCGCTGACTTCATAGCTGCACTGATGCAAGCGAT